GGAGTCTGTGGGACTTCACTATGCCACAGTGCCCAGGTTACTAAAAACATTAAAGTTTTGGCATCACACACATTGGTTACACACATTCAAAGACAATCTTGGAAAAGGTAGGTTACTCTTTTGGAAATCAAAACGTGTCATAATTTTGACTATTATTTTTGATGGTAGGGATAAAAATATTCAGTTTCTTTGTAGCATACTTCTTCCTTCAACAGAGAAGCATTTTCTTGTACAGACCTCTTGAAGTTGTTCTTCAAGTGTTTCCACATTCTTATTCAGCTTTTCTGTTTCTTCTGCATACTCTGTAACTTTGGCCTCATGTTCTTGCTACAATTGTTAGATTTCAAATAAATACAAGATGATACTTTAATCATGGAGGACACATCGGATGAAATAGTTTTAAAGAAACCATTTAGTATCTTGATGCTTGCCCTTTTGTCTTATTACAGACAATTCATGGGTACTTGTTGACTGACTTAGTGTAATTTACATGCATGTTACACTCTTGTGTGTATTTTTTATTACATTTGGGCGAGTGCAGCAATGTACAGTGTGGGTGTTTAGCAAATGCATGTCAAAGGAATGTAATGCAGCAGTTCACAAGAGCGGTAATGTAGTTGACCTTCTTCCTAACAAGACTGTGAAACACACAAAAGTGACAGGTGTTCAATGTATCTGAGAAGCCCCCTTAGATATGTCCCTGCACTTAAGGATGTACACACCATCATTTTCTTTTTATCAGCCTGGTAGCTGGCTTCCATCTTTGATTTCTGCTCCATAACAGTGGCAAGTGATGTTGTAAGAGTTACTATCTTCTCTTGCTGGGTTTCCAACTCACCATGTTCAGACGAGTTGTCTTCCTGGTTTAAGAAGACAAGACAAACTTATTACAAAATTAGAAGTAAAGCTCTTCTGTTTGAACACAAATTCAGACAGATATTATAAAGATGCATTACTTGACTGAAATATAACTACTTTTTCTTTTGACCAGAGTGCACAGACTACTCAGTTCTCCTGGTGAAATTCTATCATGCAATAGCTGTTGTTTGAGTGCAAAGCCATAAGGAATAATCATCTCTCAATACCAGGTTAGGAAATTTATCAATTTGCAGTTAATTCATAAATTTCAGCACTAGCTCAGTTCTTCTTGAAGAAAAAAGAGTCTGTGTTCAGACCAAGTTGCCCATCCAGCAAGAGCTTATCCCAGTTTCTGCAGTATGAACCCATTACACCCTAACATCAGTATTCATATTCTCTGTACTGATCTCTATAAATTTCCTATGAGACTGACAAGGAGAATTTGTTCAACAATCAGGGGCTTCTTAAATTGGTCATTATTTCCTCTATTATCATGACCTTTGCATTTGATTCAAGGTGATACTGTAAGGAGAAATGATAGAAGATAGTCACTCAAGGGTTACACTACTAGGATTATTGCTAACTCCAGGATAGTTGGCTTGTGCTCATTTATACTCCTGGCCTTGGTTATTCAAAGGGTGGATGACACTATCCACTGGATAAATTGCTATCCTGTGGATAGTGTAGTATGTATTGTTAACAGTTATCTGCTGGATAGTGATTTATTCATTGGATAGCGTTATCTACCCTATGAAGAACTGGGCCCTAGGTGGAGAGAGGTACTGTAAGAGAAGGGTATCTTGCCCAGGAAACAACATAAAAACCTGCCTAAGTCTCAATCCTGGACCTCTTGACCTGGAATCCTGTGTATTAACCCTATAACTCCCAGAGGTGATTGATGTGTAACTTCTCCCCATAATTTACAAACATTTTCCAGCAAAACAGGTGATGAGAATATTCAAACCAATCAGGTAGAAGTCATAATCTTGATTGAACACCAAACCCTTGTAACCTTTTTTACAGAGAAATGTGTAGCAGCCAGATGGGAGAATTAACAACTAGATCTTGGGAGTTAAAGGGATAACTGTGAAGCCACAGCATCTCCCACTCAGGTCTAGTTAAGTGTTGATTAAGTGTTTGTTAAGTGTTCAATCTGTTTGAAAATATGGTAACTAAACTTACACAAAAAACAGCCACTTTAAAGGATAAATTAAAGCTCTTTTCAGGACTAATCTAGCCTATTAAATTGCCTTACATTACCAATTTTTACTCTTGGGATCAAACAATTTAATATTTAACAACTAGTCACTGAAGTGGAGGTGGCTGGTGGTAGATATTTAGTGAGCCGTGAAGCTGCAAGTTAATTATCTACTGCTAGCCACTAACACTGAAGTGAATACCCCTGCCCTAAAAGTTTCTTTAATATATACTAAAAGAGTGAGATAATATAGCACAGGAAGATGATTTTAACTCATTTGTCACTGCAGCCATTAAAATATTTCTGGGTGCAAATCCCATGTGAGTTGCCCAGAGGTGAAGAGCAAAGGATATTCCAAGTTCGAGTAGCCAATCAAAGTGTGCCTTCAACACTATCCACTGTTTTAGTATTTAGTAATGTATTACATCAAACCTTGTCAGATGGTAATTGACTTTCATCATTTCCTTCATCATCCTTAACTGCTAGGGGATGATCCAGCACCTCTCCTTTCTTAAAACCATCTTCTCCCAAAGGACTTGCTAGACCACCACTCTTACTAGCCTTATCACTACTGATTTCATCTTTGACAACTTCCTTCTGATCTCTGCTATGGGATGGTTCATTTCTCTGACTGCTTTTTGTAGGCTGGGTGTTACCACTCGTTAAAACCTTGACAGTGGCTTCTAATGCTTCTTTTTCTTGTAACAGATTCTTGTAGGCACGGACAACATCTAAAGAGAAGATGGAAATAGTAATGTTGTGGACATTGGTAAGAGCTCTCAAACAGACATCAGCCTGATTTACAATTATGATTAAACAACTTAATTGTGGGAAATTGTAGCAAATGCTGTTGGAAAGTGCTCAATACACGTGAGTGTAGAGCGAAATACGATTAAACAACTCTATAGACAGTTAATCTGTCTGACGAGTGCATTAGCGCGAAACTCAGAGTTACAGGGAATCATGCGTGTTTCATTTTAGTCATTTTGAACTGATTAAACAACTTATAGTGAGAACTGCATTTTTTGTCTCAAAAGGGATGAAAACCTCAAGCCAAACTGGAAAGATCTTGAAACATTAACCATTGCTCTAGCAAAGCACTGTCTGCTATAGAATTCTTATCATATAAGTTTAGAGAATTTGGTATTAAATCAACTAGTAATCCCCTAATTTAAATTTTTCTAAATTCGTGTTACTTTTCGGCTTGATATTGTGTTGTTATTGAAAGGAGAAATCTGTCCTTGACACTAAAGGGAGTGGTAACCAGTCAAGTTGCCTGAAAGTCATCTCACCCAAAGTCATGTAACCAGTCACCTGAGTCATGTTGCCTAAAATGTAAGTCATGTCACCCACAATAAAAAGTAAAGTCACCCAATGCAGCAAATACTTAAAAGATCAGACTTACAGACTGTAAATAGGCTATATAGTTGAAAAATCTTTATCACTAAAGCACTGTTTGTTTGCGACAATGCCATGAATACAATTATCAGAATGGAAATATGTTTGAGTCATGACTCTAAAAGTGTTGTTTGTTTCTAACAACAAATGAAGTGTTGTTCGTTTGGTTCTAGCATGTTGTTTCATACTCAAGGACATTTCATAAACTTAAGAAACTTTATCAATCAAGAACTGTTGGTTTCTAACTTCACCATGAAGACTTTGACTACACAGAAATCTATCATATGATCAGAATTGAAATACATTTGAGTAACAACTGTAAAAGCGTTGCTTGTTTATAACAACAAAGTGAAGTATTGCTTGTTTCTATAACAACAAAATGCAGCATTGCACTGTCTGTTTGGTATTCACTTGTATCATACTTACAAACATTTCCCAAACTTGAGGAACTTTATCACTAAGGTGGTGTTGATTTCTAACAACACCACAAAGACTTTGAATAGACAGGTGTTTTTACAAATGACAAAAAAAATTGGGCAACTTGACTTTTTGTTTTGGGCAATGCAACTAAAGTTTTTGGCAACATGACCCAGGTTCTGGGCCACATAACTTCCAGCGACTTGACTATAAATCATGGGAGTTAAGGATTAAAACGTTAAATACAGTCAGTCTTTGATAACCCCTGCCCAGAGCATATATTTCAAGCAGTTTCAGCTCATATACTGAAAAATTACTTATCATCATTGATGACCTGCATCACAAAACTGCCTTAAGAAAATGGGCCCACATTATCTTAACAAGTATATTTTAATTGATCTTTGGTTTCATACATCACCCTGTGCTTGATACTAACTCAGCTGTGCTTAATGTCTTTCCTGTTTTGGATTCATGATCTTATATCTCGTACATTTAACATTATCTATTCTGCTCACTGTGCCAAGCAATGTTGTCACAATCGCTGCTGGTTAAATCAATCTTGGTATTTTCATCAATTTTACTGCTATTCGCTGCAACGAATTGCACTTCGATACAATACGACACACAACGTGATAATGTAATTACATGTACTAATCGATCACTGCCGAATACTCATTCACCTAAACATATCATTCTAAATGAAACTTTAAAACATTTCCTCACCTCTAAGTCTTGTTTCATAACGATTCTGTTGCTCTTTCTGTGCCTCTATAAGTTTTATGAGCTCAAAGCGTGATTTTTTCTCCATATAAACACGAAGAATTATTCCTTAAAATATTTGTACTGACTCCTTTAGCATCATACTTCGCCAGCAGTTATCGCCATTTAATAGGGAAAAGTCGGTCACTTGTAGACCCCACGATATTCTTAAACTATCATATATCAACGGTTTGTTTTTTTGACGAGAAGAGAGCCCTACACCAGCGACATGAATTCTCGGTAGGAAAATTGAACTATCAGAAGCGTTCGACACGTATGTTTACATCACTTAGCGCGAAAGACTGGGTCATATGTGAATGTAACATTAAACGAAAAGAATCCGATGCTTCTCCTTCTCGTCACGTGACGAGAAAGTTAATATGGCGGCCGCCCACACTGCAGGTATCGATGGAATAACAAAAGTTTTGGAGAGTATATGTCGAGAAAGACGAAGAGAAAATCTTGATAAAGAAAGTGAAGGTAATTATAACACATGTAGATAAAAAATGGATATATTTTCGGAGATCTGACGTTTCAGTTTGACCCTAACCATAGTTGAAGCATGGATGACAATCAGATGATGAGTCAAATTACTTGTGGTTGTTTTTGGTATCCTATTTTAACTTTCACACAAATCAAGTGAAACACCGCAGAGAATGCTACGATTTAGCTGCAGACGCTGATCTCGCCAACAACTAGCCGAATATTTTGAGCTCGTACAATTTTACCCTTCAGGAGCTCGAGAAAGGTCAAGCTGTATGCAAGCTCGAATAAGGTTAATGTAACAAACTCTAGTACGGATTTTCCCCATTATTTAGAAAGAATCTGGACAGCTGTATCATTTAGTATGATGCTATTTTCTCTCTTGTCGAGTTTTACGTGTTTTTCTTCATAAAATCATTCAGATGTTTGTTCATTTCAGCTGTGTAAACATGTTTGATTTTCTGCTTAATTTATCCACCCTGTCCATTCTTAAACCTGACAGCATCCAGTTCTTGCATATGAATACAGAGGTGTCTGGTCAAGTTGCCCCCATAACAAACTCGCCACCACCCCAGAGAGTCACTTCACCATCAGTGACAAATTGACTCAGAAGTAAGGAAGCCTTTAAACCCTGAATGTGACTAGCATCTTATTTCTCCCAACATTATAACCCCTGCATCACACAGTAAGGTCATGAGAATAAAGGAAATGATCAGGAACTAAATTTTCTCTTGATTGATAAACAAATTCTCCTTGTTAACATCTTAGGAAATGTATAGAAAACAGTATGGAGAATATGCACACTGATGTTAGGGTGTAAAGGGTTTTTTATGGAAGGTTAACTGTTAGAAGCAAGGAGAACAGCAAGTTTCAGTGTTACATAAAATGAATTAAAAGATGTAAAGATTATGATCAGTTTGCTAATGTTAACACCCAAGCAAATTTTGCTGTGTGATTTTTGCTGATGTTTATGAAACTCACAAGCTAAGATGTAGTATATTGGGAAACTAGGCATGTACAAATACAGTGAAAGTATACAGAAAAGGGCTTGGCATCCTTTATTTGTAAAGCAAAACAAATACAAACATACAAACATGACCTTTGACATGAGTTTTGTTCCTATGAATGCAATTCAAAACCAAATCTGATTAAAATTACATTACATGAAAGCTTACATCTTGTATTTTATTAATTTTTGGTTTTAACCCTTTACACCCTAAAATTAGTATGCATATTCTCTATACTGTTCTCTAAACATTTCCTAAGATGCCAACATGGAGAATTTGTCTAACAATCAAGAGCTTCTTTAGTGAGTGATCAGCTCCTGTATTCTCCTGAACTCAATGTTTGATTCAGGAGTGACATGGTAAGGAGAAATTAGATGCCAGTCACTCTTAGGGTTAAAGGGTTAATGATGCAAAATTAAAAGTGCACTCAAAAAAGGTGAAATCCAGAGAAGGAGCCTTAAATGTTGATGGTCAACAACTCAATTTGACAAGTTGAAATTGGTTTTTATCCTTGCAAGTATCTTATTTGTTAAGTTACTTAATATGAAATTATGTTGAATGAAAACTTAGATTGCCCATTTTGTAAGAATATGTTTCTTTTCTTGTTTTATACAGAGGGTTTCATTGTCTTGGCTATTGAGTCGTTTTGGACAAGATTATTCTCGCAGTATTTTGTTTGCTCTGAAGATGAAACAAGAGATGACCTTCTTTTCTATGTGAGAGGGAAAAGTTCAAGTAAAGATGGAAAAGTTGATAAAGATCATCAGGAGGTCAGGAGTGGTAGTTGTTATAGAAAGAAAGTGGATATAATGCTGTAGTGCAAAATCAGGGTCACATATTTGACCCTTTAACTCCCATGAGTGACCAAGACAGAATTTCTCCTTACAATATCAATACAATATCAAACAGATAAGTAATGAGAATAAAGAAAAATATCAATTTGGGAATAATTAGTTGATTTAATACTAAATTCTTTGAACTAACATTATAAGAATTGTATGGCTGGTAGTAAGGAGAATTACTAGTTTGATCTAGGAGTTAAAGGGTTAAGGGTGTGGAAGTTCTAACTTCCATATAATTGCACAAATAGCTCATATCATCAAAAGGGAGGTCATTGTGGTAAGATTGTGCACAGCCCCATCCTTCATTATGCATAAAGTTCTTGGATGAAGAAAACAGTGGGGAAAACCATAGATTGCCTTTGGGACTACAGCTTTGTTTTACAGTAGTATGGGGCTGTGCAGAAATCTTAACACCATTCTCCTAAGTAAGCAACAGATAGAAACGCAGAGCATGTTTATTGAATTGAAGAACAAACACTTTTGTAAAATATTGCCAGCAATGGTTAAGGAGGCTGTTATGGCAGAATGTAATAGTCATCAGGTTATAGTGGTCATAGAGAGAAGATAGTTTTATGCATTCAAAGAGATGCAACTGAGACTAAATTTGTGCATCTTTTTGTAAGTTTTGAGGACATGCAGTTAGATGAATCACTGCTGTCAGAAAGTATTTGGTGGTGATGCAAACTTTTAGTTTGTTCTATCATCAATGTTATATTTAGTTGTGTTTTTATTATACTCTTGTGCAATGTTGGGGTCATGCATTTATTATTTCACTATTTATAAGAAATCTGTTCACTTCGAAAGTTTACCTGAATTTTGAAGGGTTTCTTGGTTGCAGAAATATATTTTTGTCCCAGAATTGTAGAATCTTCTATAAATTGTTAATTTGATACTAACCATACATTTTTCTTTTGCATCATTCCACAGTCAAAAATAGCTGTGTTCAGGAAAGACTCAAAAGTTCTTCCAAGGTTTGTTTCTAGAATTTGTCTGATATAAACAGTTTGTTCATATGGTATGATTTTGTTTCTGATCTCATTATATCTACTGTAAACCTTAAACACTCATGAGTGGCCAAGAGAATTTCTCCTCACAATATATCAACTATGGGATCATTAGATAGTTGATTCAATGCTGAATTCTCCAAACTAACTTTTAAAGAATAGTTTGGCAGACAGTAAGGAGAATTACTAATAAATGAGATCTGGAGAGGGAAAGGGTTGTTAGTACATTGAGTGCCATGAGATGCATGTAATTCCATATATTATTAGGAGTAAACCTTTGATACCTTCTTTACTGTTAACAGCTTGGGCGACCCAGGAATTGACTGGGAAGAATCTGTTTATCTCAACCTGATTCTGCATCAAGTAAGAAATAAAATTTTTTTTGAATTTTGAAAGTTACTTCGTTTGCATTATCATCTGAGCTTGCTTATGTGTAAGGTACAGTGCCTTAGAAGTGAAAAAACATGGTTATCATTGTTTTTAAATCAATGGACCAGGTTAAGAGGTACAGTGCTCGTTACCTCTTGAACAAGCACAATGACCTATAACTTTTATTGCTTAATTTCTGTGTATGAATTATCCTCTATATATTGAAGAAATTAAAAAAAAAATTCATTTAAGGGAAAAAAAGGGTATTGCTAAAAGTGTACACAAAGCCCTTTACGCAAGGATGCAAATTAAGATCTTGAAAGCAATGAGGTGAGGAATGTTTTGAGTCAATGTTGTTTGAAATTGTGTAATTTTTCCTTGAGACTTTCTCCCTAAAGTATCAAGTTTTTTTCAAGTGTTACTTAAAAAACCCTTGCTTCCAGCCAACATAAAAATGTACTGTGAAACAATGAAATGATGTGCATGATAAGTACTAGCAAAGGCTCTAATGGGGCAAGTTTGGCCCATCATATCTCTTAAACAAGTCAGGTGATTTATCATTTTCATAATTGTATATTTCGAAACAGGCATTGGTTGGGAACATTTAAAGAAAGTTACCAAAAAAATTGTGCAATAACTTTTTTTTTTCTGAGGAATCACCTTAAGCTTAAGATTGAGGTAATGTCAGCAATCCAAGCTGCCACCATTTTGGCTGAATTCAAAGTGAGATAAACATTTTCCAATTTTCAGTTGCCACTGAACATATTGATATGCTTAATACAGAACCCAAACACCCATGTGAATGGGATTAAGTGGGGAATAGAGGTTAAAATTCCCAAAAGTCTCTTCATGAGGGATAAAGAATACCAATGGTTTTCTTTCTGGTATATTGTTGACTTGAAAAATAATTGCAATGTTAGTATTGACTACTTTGTTTTCCTTGAAACACTTGAAATAAAATTTATTTGTTATGCTTACAATGTGCCAGTAAATTTGGTGTTTATTTTTTGTGCAGTTTGAATACACACTAACCTGTGCAATATGTACAAAGCCTCAAGAGAAAGAAATGAGAGTACTCAGTAGAATATCACAGGTCAGTATAACTCCAAAACATAATCAACATCCATTTTAATTTATACTTACAAATTTCTTTACTTCACATGAAGATCAAAAAGTTTGTCACAGATTTTGTTACAACTTAATGATGTCCCTAAGACTAAATATCGTTTCTGTACTTTTAAATCCACAGAAGGTATATGCTTCACCTAATCGAAGGAGGTGAGTTGTTTCAGTCCATTTGAACTTCGAGATTAGAGAGAAGCACAGGGAACCTGATTGAGCAAAATCCTTTAAAAAAAATGGGATTGTGCAATAAGAAGTGGTAGACTCTTTAGAGCAACATTTAGGGCAAGTGTTGTATGGCAGCTGCCTTTGTCTCTAGTTTTGAATTATTTACAGACTGAAATTAAAATGATCAACATTAATTTTATATAGACTTTGAGAGTCTGATGTCTGTAAAGTGTGACACCACTTTTCTTTAATTCAGAATGGATTCAAAAGGAAGTTCTGCGGAGATTTCGTACCCTAACATATTTTTTATTCTGGACAATTTTGAAGAGGTAAATGACAATCTTGGTTACTTAATATCTGGCTCTACCATTAAAAATGCCAGCTATCTTGACAATACTGAAAATTTTGTTGTTTTTGTAACAGACATTCCGAGACTTTGCACTACAAGAAAATGAGATGGTTTGTGTGGAATTGGTTGCTAAAGATAAGGTATTGCTTTTTGAAATCAGCATTCAAACAACTGGACAACAAATGAAGATGTAAAAAATTGCACTTGGCCTTATTCAACTTTAACTTACTGAAAGTGGCTAAAAAGAGTCCTTACATTCTGTTACAAACACTTGAATCATATTTCTTTATTAATTTGTCTCTAGACTGAATCAGTGGAAGGAGTTATCTTCCTAGGATCAATAAGATATGAATCACTCAAAAAAGTTTATGATGGGCGAGTAAGTATGCAGCACAGTAATTATTTTATATATTTTATACCCTTTTTTAAACCCTGTACACTAACATCAGTATGCATATTCTCCATATTGTTCTCCATACATTTCCCAAGGTCCTGACAAGCAGAATTTGTTGAACAATCAAGAGTTTCTTTAGTCAGTGATCATTTTCCTTTTTCTGGTGACCTTTATGTGTAATTCACTGGGGTATATTGTAAAGAGAAATTACATGCCAATCACTCTCAAGGGTCAAAGGGTTTAATGATTTGTTACACCCTTAAAACCCTTGAGAAAGACAAGACAAGACAAGACCATGGTTTAATCATTATGACCTGTGTTGTGTCTTTGACCCAGGCTAGTGTAGCCAGTAAGGTTGCTCGCAAAGTTTCAATGGGTTGGTGGAAAGGTCCAGCTAACGTAGAGTTCATCAAGATGAAAGGTCCAGGTGGAAAAGGCCATGCAGAGATGGCAATTACACAACACAGAGGACTGGAGGAGAGAAGTGGTTTAGAGGACTCTGAAAATAGTGAATGGTATGTTACAGTGTAGATAAACCCTTTCCCTCCTAAGATCTTACTTTTAAAAAGTCTGTTGTGCATTTTCTATAATTTAACTTGGAGAATCTGTTCTTAACCCTTTAACTCCCAGAAGTGATCAACAAAAAACTTCTCCCTATAATATCCTTACATTATCCAGCAAATAGGTGATGAGGATATTCAAACTTATCAGTTAGAAATTGTTATCTTGATATAACACCAAATTCTCATAACTAATTTACAAGGAAATATGTAGCAGCTCAAGGGAAGAATTAACAATTTGATCTTGGGAGTTAAAGGGCTAATTCAAGCACAACTCCCAACATTGATGTTGTTCTTTCTTCTCAGCACCTTTCTGCTTGACATTGTATTGTTACTGTAAGGAGAAATTATTTGTTGGTCACCATAGGGAGTCAAAGGGTGAATGCTTACAAGTATAGTGGTCCATTTGGTTGGAGAGAAATATGGAATGGGATGCTTCTCTATCACTGTTTTAATTTCAAAAAAAAAAAAAAGAAAGAAAGAATGTATGGTGATGAAATCCTCATAGCTTGTTACAGGAGAACCAAACAAAGAATGACAACTTTCTGGCTCTAGTTGTTCGAAGGGTGAATAACTCTATCCACTAGATAAATATCTATCTGTTGGATGGCGCAGTATGTTTTTTAAGACTTATCCACTGGATAGTGATTTATCTGTTGGATAGCAGTATGTGCCCTTTGAACAACAGGGCCCTGACTGTTAGATTTAGTCACCAAATTTTTTTTTTACGCTTACCATTGCAACCAAAAGGTCACAGGTTGGAGAGTTTAAAGTTTTCAGTATTGGAGAAGTTCATATTTTGATTTTGAAATATTCATGATAAATCTAATTCGCTTTTGTTTCTTTGTCCTCAGGAGAACATGTGCTGAGTGTGGAAATACAACTTTTTCCTCTTCAACTTTTTCCTCTTCGACAAACCACCAAGTGCAAGTTCAAGATGAAAAATGCTACAATTGTGGTGTAGAGTCCAGATGGACCACAGATCTCGATGGTGCAAAATACAGTGATACAAGTCAAGACAAAAAGAAAAAAGGTTTAGTGTAGCTGTTGAATCAGAAATACTGTTTTTTGTTGCAAGATGTAGGTAGTTTTGTTGTGTAGATACTAAATTAAGTGAAAAAAGTGAAATAAGAACAAATAAATCAGAATAATTAGGTTCTAAGGTAAACTTTTCTTTCAATTGTCATCCCCCTAAATGTCTACTCTTTGTTAGTATCAGTCTGAATGGTTTTTTTTTTTTTCATTTTCTCGTCACTGCACTGCATTATGCAGAGTGTTGCCAAATATGACAGAGGCTTTTAAATTATGTAAAGCACTGATTTTAAATTTTGGCATGAGTAACCAAGCTGTTCAATCCTGATGAGTTTGATTTTTTCTTTGTTGCCTAGCAGGTCTATTGTCATCATCTCAGCAATGGGTGAAACTCAGGTATGCTCTGATGTTTAGTATATAATGTGTTAAAGTTCTGGCAATCTTAGTAAATGGTTATGTGCCCTTAAAAATAATGTGTCAATGGAAAACAGTCACTGGAACACTACAGGGTTGTCAAAACTATTGAACAGCCAGTGAGAATCACCACCTTCCTCATTTCATTGTGTTCTTGGGCAAAACACTTAACTTCCATTGTGCCTCTCCCCACCCTGGAGTATAAATGGATACACACAAATTGTCAAGGAAGCCTGAAGAAATATTAGGGGTAACCTTGCAATAAACTGGCATCCCATCTGGGGGGGAGTAGTAATACCCCTAGTCACTTCATGCTATGGAAACCACCATAATGAGCTTCAACTGGACAGGCTCTAGTATAGATTTTACCCAGCTTTAGTTCACTCTATCTTCTCATCATCCCTCTCCTCTTTACCTCCTAATTTCTATTTCTCTCACTTCTGCAAACCCCCCCCCCTTTCTCCCAGTTTTTTTTTTTTTACCCTCCTTTCACTCCAGCTATCAAGTATCTTTCATAATTGGTTTCCACTCTCCCCCTCTCCCAGGTTCCAGCCGCTGCTCTTTCTATTTCTACCATTGAACCTCTAGGGTTCTACTCCCTTCAGACCTTAATATTGTACCAGGTAATATTTTATTTTTTATTTTTTTGCAGAAAAAAATCCCTTAATGGTGTTGCACTCTCTGCATATTTAACATACGTGACACTACCATGGAATAAAATTATGAAAGGTCAGTTTTCTTGTATGCCAACTATCAAGAGTTTCTAGTATGATAAACTAAATAGGACCTGATTGGTACTCACTAATGATATATTGGAGGACAGAGGCATAGATGACATCACCATTACCAACTTTTTGCTCTTTATCATGCAAAACAAATAGATTCCATATTGTGGTGCATCTCTACATGAGTAGATCACAGAAGACATCCAAATGTTGTAAGAACATCAATGACGTACTCGGCTGCACCTGATTTGCTGTGGTTCTTACCATACTTTGACCGTAACTTGATCTATAACTGAACAGATGTGCAGTAACATGAATTCTGTTTGTAATCAGCTGAATATAGTTCTAAGCCAGAGGCATTTTCAATTGAGAACTTATTGATTTATAATAAATTTGTTTTTAGTTGGCTGTTGGTTTTTTTTTCTCTCATGGTGACATTTTTTAATCTATGTTGCAGATATTTTGGAAGTGAGGCAACCTCCTATATTATCTTAGTATTAAATCAAATAAATCAGTCATACGGTTTATGTACAAATTCTAAATTATTTATCTACGTGCATTGCCAAATATAATCACCCCTGTTGACACAACAATCTCGTGCTGCTGAAGGCACCTTATGTTATAATTTTCAGACAATGCTTCAAACCTTCCTTTTTCTAACAAGAGAATCTGTATATGTCTTAATGGAGTTATGTGAAAGAAATGGTTTGAGTCTGCCACATTGTCAGTTAACCTTTTCACTCCCAAAATCTCATTCTTTTGACGTTAGTCCTGAGAATTTGGTAGTGGATCAACTAATAATCCCTTAAATTTATATTTTTCTTTCTCTCTTTTCTTGTTGTCTTGATTTTGTATTGATATTGTCAATAGTGGAAATTAAAGGGTTAAAGCCCTCTGAAATGTGGCACATGTTTTGCAAGAGGTCCATGGCATTTTTGTTGGCAGCTTAAAATGCATATTTGGTAATGCATCTATAACTTCCTAGGTTGCATGTTATCAAAAAGCACATTCAATCATATATATAATTATGTATAGAAAGAAATCAATATTTTTTATATGGATAGCAACCTTCTAATTACCATCTGCAGTGCAGCGTCTACTTTGTATTTACCTCTATTTATAATATGCCTAGAATGCAAAACTGAAAATGCTGTATGTACACTTATTGATGTTAAGGCCTATTTACACGGCACGACTTTGTCGCATGCGACAAGCTTACGACAGGCCTACGACATGACTTAAGAGTCGTAAGCGAGTTGTAGGTTTGATTTACACGAAACAATTCGTGTCGTAAGCCTGTCGTAAGCTTGTCGCATGCGACAAAGTCGTACCGTGTAAATAGGCCCTTAGAGAATCAGATTAGTGCAGCAGGAAGAACTGAAAGAGAAAGCATTAGTGAAAACAGTTATGTTAACCCTTTATTCCCTAACAGTATTGGTTTTTCCCTTACTCTTCTCTATACATTCCCTTTGGTGCTGACATGGAGAATTTTTTAAACAATCCATGCTTCTTAGGTTGGCAACCATTTCTTATATTCTCGTGATCTTATTAAATGACTTAGCAGTATTTCTGTAAGGGGAAATCAGATATTGGTTACTCTTAGGATTTGTAGTTTGACCGAGCTGGTGGTAGAAAAGTGATCATCACTGGCCATAAGAAAGAAAAAAAAAGTTTCAGGCATTCAATTAGTAATAGTACACAGCATGAAAGTAGTGGCAGAATGAGATAAACTATGAGATCACTACTTTAGTGCCATTTACTGTTGTGTGAACTGATGGCCAGGAGCAAACTGACATCAAAAAGGGAGAGACCAGCCTGTGTAATCAAGCAAATAGCTTTGTTTTGGATAAGAGTAAGGCCCGACACTGGTAGATCATTTGTGAAGTGATTTATATTGTTGGCCAATTCTGGGAATTATAGGATTTGTAGCATCTAATTTTGGTACAAGGTTAACCCTTTAATTCCCATGAGTGACCAAGACAGAATTTCTCCTTACAATATCAATCAGACAGATGATGAGAATGAAGAAAAATATAAGTTTGAGGATTTTTTTAGTTGATCCAGTACCAAATTCTCAGAACTAGCATCGAAAGAATTGTATGGCAGACAGTAAGGAGAATCACCAATGAGATCATGGCCATTGAAGGGTTAAATTATCTCCCTCAAAAGTGCTTGTCAGCAGAATGATAGGCAACCAATCCCCCTCTTTCTAATGTCATTGGAGCATAAAATCCAATTAATGAATAATTTGTTCCTGTAGTTATTCACGACACATTAATTGGTATGTTTAAGTTGTGTATCAGATGCAGGCATTTTTAGGTCTTAAAATGTCTTATCACAGCCAGTAACATTACAATCAGATTAAGATTGTACCATAGAACTACTCTAGATATCATAAGCAATGAAAAGTTGTATGAAACAATGACCAAATAAAGCAGTGTATTGCTTCAGAGGTTTCCACGTTTATTTCAACACATTGATCACAAATAGTGACTGGACCCTGGTGCAACTGGGGCAGGATCTCGATCCAATCCCAATCTTATGGGGAGCAGAAGGGGGAGGGGGGCAAATCTAGTCCTGTAGTTTTGATAAAGGAGAGTAATCAGTGCTTTAACCTTCAACTTCTAGTTTTAAGTGGCATGAGCCAAAGCCAGCAGATAATAGCAATCATTTCATTTTACAGAGCTGATTAACAGAGAAATAATTCACCCATATCTGGAAATCAACTGGTTCTAATAATACACTTTATTTACAAAAATATGTCACTGAAATAAATTATACACTTGATAATCATGGGAAACTTGTAAGATGTATTAATAAATTGTGTAAGGACTGCACACAAGAGTTTCATGCTTATTTACAGTGCATCACTGTCCACCAGTGTTCCCTTCTTTTCCATGTGGAGAGCCCAGATTTTTAATTCTGTTTTATGTCTAATTTATATCTAAATTTGGTAATAATTCAAGACTATGTCTCACAGTTGATGATTTTCAACCTTCTTACTTACTACACTTACTCCCTGTTTCATTAAAACTATAGGAAGACTTTTCACATTGATCACTCCTAAATGTGAGCGAGTTATTGCAGGCAGCAAAGCCACAAACTAACCCTTGAACTCCCATGAGTGACCAAGAAAAAATTTCTCCTTACAATATTTTTATAATATCAACCAGATAAGTGATGAGAATAAAGAAAAATATCAATTTGCTAATAATTAGTCAATCCAATACTAAATTCTCTGAACTAACATAAGAATTGTATGGTTGGCAGTAAGGAGAATTACAAATTTGATCTGGGAGTTAAAGGGTTGAGAGGCAAGAAAAATGGTGAGAGGGCCTTCTTAATCCTTTCAACAATATTCCTCCTTTCCTCTACAAATGGACCTTAAAAACAGGAGACAAAGTAAAAGAAAATAAGTCAGGTCATCAAAGTAATACAATCAAATCCTCACTAGGCAGAAACCCACGAAAGTCCCTTCAACACATCCACTTAGTGCAGCATGTCTGCCACTAAAACAAAAGTGATTAACTTTAATTTGTGTCTGTGTATGCTCAATGGTGCCATGCACTGAGTACAGGTTCATTTTGCAGTAAATATGGAAGGAAATTTGGGATTATTGGTAAGGTACTGTTTCTTTTTTTTTTTTGATACAGATTGTCTGCTTAACACAGGGTTCACTAAATTTCTCTGTCAAAGTAATATAATACTATACAATATTACAAACTAATTGTGATTTTAAAATGTCATTACCCCCTTATTTGGTGGCTAGTTGTGAGAAAGTATTTTAAAACTTCAAAACTTTGCTGAACAAGCAATGTATTTTCAGCAGCTCAATGGGAAACCCATTTCAAAGCTGCAATGAATATTTCTAATTTTTAGCCACTCAGAGGTGGGAAATGTGAGCCCACAATTATTTTAACACAATACATTGTCATCTCTCTGGTCAACCAAAGTGAAGGAAGACCATGATCTAATGTAATACTGGAAAGATTTTATCTTTATTGTCTTTTCTTTCAGATATGCTTCCTATTTAGTGATAATTACTAATAATACCTTGTGTAATAAAGACCCCTGGATAAATTTCCATGAGGAGAGTTGACTGTTGCAAATGTTTTTGCTCTCAAAGCAGACATTGTCTCACCTTTTGTGTATAAAGTCTTTCTGACAGTTTCTTGTGTAGAGATGACAATTCAGATGTGCTGAGTGTTGACTCCACCAACTCACACACCTTGAGTAAAAATCAGTACAATGCATCAAAAAGTAGTCACTATGAGGCTTTACTTACATATTATATTACACTTAAACCCTTTAACTCCCAAGATCTCATTAGTAATTCTCCTTACTGTCTGCTATACAGTTCTTGTGATGCTAGTTTGGAGAATTTGGTATTGGATCAACTTATTATCCCCTAACTGATATTTTTCTTTATTCTCATCACTTGCCTGCTTGATATTGTATTGATATTGTGAGGAGAAATTCTGTCTTGGTCACTCATGGGAGCTAAAGGGTTAATAACGAGAAATCATTAAGTATCTGTCCCTCTAACATATAACACTTTGCCTTCCAACAGTAACCAAAGCCATATTTCTCCATACAGTTCCAATACAGTTATGGGCAGAAGGGTGTTGAGAAAAAGAAAACCAAGAAATTATTGGATGCTATCTGATTCATAGGATTAATTCAAACTTGGCCATAAAATTTGTAAACATATTTGCTGAACCAACCAGTGTGTTGTAGACTGTAATCCTGCTTGCATAATGAACTATCTTCTGGAGAAGAGTTTCATGAGGTGCTAACATGCTTGAAACACATTGTGGAGCCTGAAGGAAAAGTGATATGACAATGTTAGTGGATCAAGAGCAAACACTAAGAGCTTACTGGTTATGGAAGAAACACTTAGATGAGGCTAGTTCCAGAGGTCTATGCCCATGCTTGTGAATATTATGAAACACCATGATATGTTCTATGTGTTCCTTTAGATAGTCCTTACCTTAGCAGATTCAGAAATGACATCTTTTAAGAAGCTAGTAGCCACTGTGAAGTATTGATGGTGGACATCAGTAATATTGACTTGATCACTAATTCCATCATTTTGATCTTTCATTGTTTCTTGGGAAGAACTGGGTGCTTCATCTGTTGTTTTACTCATGTTAGTTTCTGAAAACAGGATTTAAAGTGAAGTTAAGGATGCACCCAGGTCCTTTCCTCCATATAATTGTAGGAAAATTAAATTTTTAAAGGAAAGGCAAAAGAGACAGCAGGAAACCCTTTCTCTCACCTTCCACTTGATCCACAAGGCTACCTTCATGATTGTCTGCTTGATGATCACTTTTTTGTACATTTTCATTTAACTCTGCATTTTCTCCATATGCCACATGTGCTTTGTCTGTTAAAGGTTCTGAATCAGCATCTGTAGCCTTGATTTTTTCTGCATTGTTTTTTTCATTTTCTTCAGTACTTTCTTCTTTGCTAAAACTTCTTTCAAACTTGTTTTCCATGGTTTCTGTGAAAGAAAGCCTGTTCAAACTGCTCTTGCTTCTTTTGCGATGTATCTTGCAGGAATATCCTAGAAGACCCAGAAGTACCTTCATAATTCTTGGATCTGAAAAACAAACACATCATGAGAATCACACAAAAAGATTGAAGTAACAAAAACTTCTTTCCATGCACGCCATAAAAAGTAAGTCCAGCATTCTTCTGCAATATTACACTGCTGCTTGTTTACAGATTCTTGGCTGGGTATCCAACTTTTCCGTACTCACAGTCATTCCTTATTCAAATTTAGTTGATTTGCATCCAGTTTGAGTCAGTTCATACTGGAACCTCAGGTCGATTCATACCTGTCCCAGTATTTAGACGTCCCTTATTGAATACACTAAGTTATTAGTGTAAAGTGAGAAAGATACAAACAAAATTCTGTTGTGTATACTTTTGACCTTCTTACAAAAATGACTAAATTATTGCCTAGCCCAAGTAAGCAGGGTTAAAGTGATATCTTGAATAGAACAGTCTATTGTTTATACTTGTAACAGCTAGTGTAAGTGTGATTTTTTTTCTCCCTTTGGTGGTCTCATATCAAAAATGGACCCCACGTAAACAAAACTTACTTAATTAACCCAGGTTACATTGCTATTAAAAATCAGAAACCAACCTTCCTTTAAACACCAATGAAAAACACTTTATTAATTAGCAGGTTACAAAACAACCCAACTGGCTGGGTACCAATCAACCTTGACAAGCTGGATACAAAACAACTGGATACAAAACAACCAGTGACCCTTAACTGAACAGAATTTACTTAGCATAAAACCCCTTTAACTCTCAGAAGTGATTGTCATGTAACTTCTCCCAAACAGGTAGTGAGAACACTCAAACTTATCCTGTAGACGTTGCTACCTTGATCTAACATCAGAGTCTCGTGACTACTTTATAAGGAAACATATAGCAGCTAGAGGGTAGAATTAACAACCAGATCTTGGAATTAAAGGGTTGAATGTTACCTTTTTCCATGGCTGTCAGCACAGTAATGGGATCTGCCACAAGGATAACATTCAACACTGAGAAGGATTCAGTAAGTGACACTTCACGACCAACAACAATGCCTCCTTCATCATGCCCACACTCAGCAATAAAATGGCACAGAAGTGGAACAACAGATACACAACTCACTGAAAAGAGGTAAAAATCTGAAATTAATCATTTGATAGCGGTAATGACTGATGGAGTACATTTCAATTGCCTGTCATCATTCTAAAGGATTTAGTATAATCTGATGATAATTATATAACATTTCACATCAGAACGTTGGATATGATTATTACCCACCTAACCCCTGGACACCTTGTTCTACAGTGGATACCATTTGAAGAATGTGAAGAAGTGTCTCTACTATATGGAGCTGTTCAGATCTGTGAAAGGTAGACATGCAAAGAATCAAAACAAAAGTAATTTCACAATTGACACAGTGTAAGGTTACAGAAAATAACCTGTAATCACACCCATACTATACTATGGAAACTCACTGGAAATTCTGCTAGAAAAGGGAATAAGGTCACCAAGGTGTCTTTTAACCCTTTGACTCCTGAGAGTGATACACATCTAATTCCTACCAACAGTATCACTGCTAACTCAAACATAAAACTCATGAGAATAAATGAAATAATCGTGAAGTCAAGAAACTCTTGTTTGTCAGACAAATTCTCCTTGTCAGCACTTTAGAATATGTATAAAGAACAATATGGAGAAAGTGCATACTGATGTTTGGCTGTTAAGGTATGTTGAAAGGTCTCAAAAGCATTCATTAACTATTTTTGAAAGGGCTTGAGGGAGAAATGAATCAAACCTAAAATTCTGTCATGTAGGGAGCCCTGTATCTAGGATACAATTTTTAACATTTAAATTTGCCTTTTTGGTGCAAAAGAGGATTCAGATAGATGCAGGATGTGGGAAAGAAATCTGACATTGGAAAAAAGTTTTCATAGGATTTAAAACAATCCCTTGGGATGTATAGGAGATATGTATTGCAACATCAGAAATCCTGAGGTGCTTCTGGCAACAAAGACTTTCAGAATGCTATAGTTAGAAAAAATTTGATGAGCCAGGAAAAATAAAAAAGACTGACATGATAAAAATTATGACCTCATATGCATCTGTTTCATGGCTTCACAAACAGCAGTAACCAAGGGTAAGTCCGCCCAGGCTCGCAACATTTCATCGTTTGTATCCAAAACCTTATCTACCACTTGGGAGCAGTTAGTGAGAAGATCCACTGCAAAGCAAAATAAAATAACAGCAAGAAATAAATGCTGAGTATTTCCTAGGAACACCCTCTAAACTTCTAAAATTCAGACTGCAAAAGAGTTAAAACATCTTTAACCCTTTTATTAATTCTCATAAGTGATCAAGATAGAATTTCCCCCATAACAATTATCAATAAAATATCAAACACTCATGTGATGACAAAAATTTTAAAAAATATTTCAATTAGGGGATTTTTACTAAATTCTCTAATGCAATATCGTAAGAGTCATAAGTTTGACAGTAAGGAGAATTGGGAGAGACAGGGTTAACTTCTTTCAGGAAAATGCCTGAGATAGGTACATAATTTTCCTCAGTGTGCATAAAGATCTCCACAAGGATAAAAAAGCAAAAAAAGCCAGCCAGTTGAGGAAAAACAAAAAGCAGAGGTTGCTACCAAATCCCTGATGATTGCAGCAGCCCAATCTTTCATTTGTCTCTTATGTACTTGAAAGCTATACAGTTTGAAAAGAATTTGAACTAGTTTGATTTTTTTCTTTGTTTAAGGACCATGGTAATATACCTAGAACAAAGGGAGACACAAATCAAACTGGTTTAAAATTAGAGTGACTTTAAAATCAATTTAAACCATAACCTTTCCAAAGACCAAGACACTGAAACATGCAACTTTTTGCTCGTCCCAAGTGTATCCTCTAAGAAGGGCTTGATGTAGTATAGGTGACGTTGCATAGTTTTAGTGAGTCAGCCCCCTTCCAGTAACTCATAGTTGGACTCACCATTTAAAGAGTTCTCCAGGATGTACATAAAATTCTTGAAGACTGTTTCTGCCTCCAAAACTGCCATCCACTGTGATTCAACCTCATCATTACTCAAACAAACATGAATCAGTCTAAAAAAATTGAGAAAAAAGTCTTTGAAATGAGTAAGAAGAAAAAAAAGTGGTTTTTCGATATTTGGCTGAATAAAGAAGTAATTTCTAACTGTTTGCTGAGCCTCAATGGGAAAGGGAAAATGGTTAACCCTTTAACTTCGAGGAGTGACTGGTATCTATTTTCTCCTAACATCATCACTGCTGAATCTAACACAGAAGACATGAGAATTAGGGAAGTGATCATCAAAACAAAAAGCTCTTGATTGTTAAAAAAAAAAAAACACACACATTGTCCTTGTCAATACCATATAGGACATGTATAGAGAACAGTATAGAGAATATGCAAACTGATGTTAAGGTTTTAAAGGCTTAAATCCTTGCCACTTTGAACTAGACACAAAAACTCCCTCATAAAGGTTTTACAATATATTAATTCACCAGTGTACCTTGTAACCTCCACCAGGACTGGAGCATCTGGTTCATCAAGCAGAACTGTAACAATATCACTGCAAAATAAGTTCAAGGATTGATGGTGCAATAAATTCTTCACTTGTGTAGCTAGGCAATATCTATTGTCTATTTGTTTACATCTATTTGTTTCATAATATACCACAGATGACTTCAAAATGCTGTAAGAAAAAAAAAAGAGGCACATGAAGTGCAGCCAAGTCTGTCAGATTTCCTTACCACATTTTGACATCTTCTGCAATCTATTACAGGACTGTGGTCTGGCAGAGCCCAGGTGCCTCACGCAACCAAGTTTTGTCTTAATGGGCAACTTGCATAATTTCATTTTTATAAAAGCATGTGAGAGCTGGGCACCCCAGATTCCCTAGATGATAACCTCTAGGCAGCCTTGTATTACTTTACAGACTCGCAAACACATAGAAACTGTTTGTTTTATATGATAAAGTATCAGAATGTTGTTAATGATGATGATTCATGTATGAACCAATGAAAATTCATGTAGGATTCAGTTGTACTGTACTGTACTGTAATCTAAATCAATACTATAACTTTTTTTACAATAAATCAAAGGCCATTTTGGTACTATAAAAGAGAAATATTGCAGTAAGAATAATCAGAGATCTAAATAACAGTAAGTTTACAGATAAAACTGTTAACTTACACAAGATCTTTATTACTCAACATCTTCACACAAACACCATGACTGCAAGCCATGTTTGCCAGAATTCCAACACAAATTTCCTAAACACAAAAAAGAATTAAAACAACCTGTCACTTATTCTTACCAAACAAATGAAAACCAAGTGGGGAACATTCGACAGGAATTTGTGATGTTCTGGTGATGCCAAGCTTTTCAGAAGTAATTTGGTAAATAAAATCCCATATTAGCATGCATGTATTACAAAGATCTAAAATCTTACAATGAGAGTTAATTTTAGTCATAACAGTACTTCATTACACTTTGTGAATCACAGTGTTTTCACTTCTTGATTCAACCTTGTAAAATAATAGTTGATCTTTGTAACTGCACAAGAACTAAATTTACATTATCTTGGTAGTAAAAATTCTTCACAATGCCAAAAAGGGATTTGAACACTTTTAACCCTTTCAACCCTTGGAGTGACCAGCATCTAATTTCTCCTAACAGTAACACTGAGAATAAAGGAAATGATTGTCAACCTTGGAAGCTTTGATTGTCCCCAGGAAGCTTTGATTGTTAAACAGATTCTCCCAGTCAGTACCAAAAGAAATGTTTAGAGAAGAGTATCAAGAATACAGATACTGATGTTAGAGTGTAGTGGGTTTCCAACTTGAATCCAACTCATCACGCAAAAGATACCAGGACTTATTGGACCTAAACAACCCCAAACAACCCATTATGGATATCATGAAGTGTGGTTCTGAGATATATTTTTTCTGTTCATAATCATGGGTGTAAAACATTACCAGAGGCCTTTAGTGTCACTAACTACTTACATATTAACCCTTTCACTTCCAAGATCTCATTAGTAATTCTCCTAACTGCGTTCCATACAATTCCTGTGATGTTAGTTCAGATAATCTGATGTTGGATCAACTAATAATCTCCAAATTTATATTTTTCTCTATTCCTATCACTTATCTGCTTGATGTTTTATCAATATTGTAGGGAGAAATTCTGTCTTGGTCACTCATGGGAGGAGGTTAAGATAAAAAAAAAAAAAGCATTCATTATCGTACTGTAACTCTTGGATTCTGTGACTTCAATACAGCATCTAAGAGGACTTCAGTAGTTTCCACTTCTTCCAAAAATGCTGCTACATCCTGCAAACAAAAGCAAAGTTATGTTTAACTTCCCACCTCATCACCATCTCGATCCTCCAGTCTCCGTTCCCCCTTCTACCTTACTATTAGAATTGAGTATGCTATGAAACGTGATTGTCTATCCTGTCTTGTACTTTATTGAGTGCTCTTAGCTGGCGAAAAATTTATTTATATTGTCATAATTTCAGAATTTTTTAGGTGCCTAATGGTGACTTCGAAAATCTTTGAGATTGGTGCCCTAATAGTTGTTATCTGCTCTTCCGGACACAGCTTAGATACTTCCAGGTTTTCGCTGCTAAACGATAACCTTACCATACCCCGTAAGGTTTCTTCATGTCACGCATTCTCTCACTAACAAAAAAATCGCTACTCCGCGTATTTACTGCTCGAAAATCATTTGAGATCATTGCTTCTTTAGATTCTTACACCGTTCATTGACATATCCCATAGTTCACACAGCTCTTTTTCAAAATCATCGCTAAGCTCGTGTGATGCATTATCTTCTCCCTCGCGCGATGAAGCATGTTCGTCGTTTTGGCCCTCCTCGGAATCTTCAGTAGTGGACTGAAGAGATTGAACCAGCTTCATAAGAGTTCCTAGCACCCATTTCTTGCTAAATACTGTTTCACCGATGTTGTCGTATTGTATTAGCTCAATTTCCTCCGCGGATAAACGAGGAGGAGAAGGATTCCTATCTGCCATCTTACAGCCCGGTCTTACAGAATCTATTTTTGATCTTCTAGCAAATCAAACTTCGGAACTCTCCGGAAGCGTTCGGCAGTTCCGACGTACAGCTGGTGTCCAGTCTCCCCCAGAATGCTTTGAGAAAGGAAATACCCAAAATGTCGGACGGATCGTCAGAAAGTGTTTTGAAACGAAAGCTGGACGAAGGTGAAACTCAAACGGCAAACGACACAGATCTAAGCTCGCCGCCAGCTAAAGTGCGAGTGACAGATAATAAAGCTAGAGAGACAGTTCAAACCAAACCAAATACTGTTGATGTTTCGCAAAATAGTGTTGGACCTTCAAACATTGCTTCAAGTCAGGCAATTGCAGAGGGCAGCGATGATGAACGAGAAAAAATGCAGTGAGTACCAATGCTTAGCTAAATTTGAAGGTGGAAATATAGTTTGGTTTGTAAATGTACCCGTGATCTTGAGGAATACGGCTACTGTGGCCGATGCGACTTGAAATTTTTAACATCGACAAGAAATATTTACCTTTTTCAACAAGGGGATTTCGATTATTCCTTATTTGTCAGGTTGCTTGTGTCCTCCTTCTCAGAAGAACAACTGAACCGCTATGAAATGTACAGAAGGGCAGCATTTCCCAAGGCAGCAATTAAACGGGTGAGTTTAAGACACCTTTCTTCGTTTTACACATCAGCCATTGTGCAGGGCACAGATATTGAAAAATATCACTCTGTATGTTACAGTAACTGTAGCTTCTGTTCCCAACCATGGCATTCACTTGGTAATTCGGTATTATAAACTGAGTTGACGATGTAAATTGGCCACCATAAAGAGTTTCCAAGGTGACATTTCGAGCGTTTGCACCCCGTTGTTGCTCTGATTAAGGGTTAATGCTCAAAACGTCAGCTTTGAAACTCTTTATAGTAGCCAATTTACATTATCAACCCAGTTGGTTTATTAGCTCAGTTGGTAGAATGCTACACCGGCATCGCAGAGGTCATGGGTTCAAATCCCTTACAGGCCTGAATTTTTTTTTTCAGGCCTTATTTTCACTTCTGCACAAGCAGTGTTCATTACTGCGAAGATTGCCTTCATATTCACATCTTTATCTGCAGTTCAAATATCTGACTTTCATATATTTACAGTCGTTTATTATCAACTCAGTTAATTATACCAAATTACCTTGTTATACTCTCCCACTGATGCAGCACCACAGTTTCTTTAGAAGTGTACCCCTGTTTTCTCATGGCATTCACTGCTTGAATTAATTATGTGGGAGAAAATAATGATGTGTTTTGCTATTCCCCTTTCCCCCCTAAAAAGATGTTTTATTTTTACATCTGATTGGTTGACAAAGTGGCACAAGTTGGGTAAACCAACTGCAGAGTGGCACAAAACCAATGCAATCAGATTTCTTTTGAAACAATAAAAAAACACCCATATGGCTAGTTTTACTGTCTTATCTATCTTATTTAAGTAATATCCTGATTGAATTTCTGTTTTTACCTGCAGCTCATGCAAAGTGTCACAGGAGGAACTTCAATCCCTCCAAATGTTGTCATAGCTATGGCTGGAATAGCCAAAGTATTTGTTGGAGAAGTTGTAGAGGAAGGTACATGTAATTTTAAGTTCATGATCAAAATTCTAATCTTCTCTTTGCTTTTAAATTTTAATATCTATTCTCTTCAGTAGGTTGGCCCAAGGTTAAAATACTTTTAAAATTCTGTGCTTCTTACAAATATTCACATTTTATGGATGGAATTTCATAGGTAATACCAAACAGAGGGACAGGGCTTTTGTATAGTACAAAGTTGAAATTGAGTTTCTGAAAGGGAATCTGTGAACGTAAAGTGTAATTTTATATCAAGGCATAAGGGCAAAATATTCCATTTGCTGTTTCTTTTCACCACATGAGTATACGTCCACTGATGCAGAAGAAGGAGCAGTAGTATTAAACCTACTTCACAGGAGACACATGGAAATTCGTAGCTTTGACCCAGATTTGAAACATTTTAGTTGCACCCCTTTATCACTAAGCTATTTTTCTGTAAATAAATAAATAAACCCCATTCAGATGGCTGGTCTGTTGGCTGATAATGTCAGCAGCTGAGATATTGTCTGAAAACATTAATATTTGGCTAAGGAGCAAAGCTTCAAGGGAAAATGTGAAATTTTGAGGACAATCTCTCAGCCAAGGACATTATGGCATGCCTGAAAATGGTTTATTTATTTTATAAGCCTCCCATGAATTTTCATATTGTGGGTTGACGGCAAATGTTGTTGACTTTTTTGTTCTTTACAGAGCAGCATTTGAGATAAGTTTTTTAATGTCACTACCAATGGACACAATGAAAATATTTTGTTTTCCTTCCATGTAAAGCAACAAAGATGAAAACAGTGAAACTCTCAAGCTGGCTATTTCCCACTGGCTTGGTTTCTTTACAAGAGAGATAATTGGGGGACAAAAATCTCTGTAGAAGGGGGTTATTGCATGATAATTGTGCAGTGATTTTGCACCATATGGCATTAAGTAGCCAATAGAATCATGTGAAAATTAATGGGTGGGTTATAAACTGGAATATTTCATCTGTGGGATATTTGTCAGAGTTTATGGTTGGGTATGTCTATTAACTGAAGTCCAAAGTCCCAAATTTTCAAGTGAAGGTTAAGTACTGGTATAAAGCATATGCTGTTACTGTAATCTTGACAGTTTCTTGGCCTTTCTCTAAAAGAAATCCAAGATTCTTTGAACTATGTTTCTTTTTCCATGAAGTTAGTCATTGAGTGGTTATTATTCTTGATATACAGCTTGTGATATAATGGAAAAGTGCAAAGAATCTGGGCCCATTCAACCAAAACATCTAAGAGAATCTGTCAGGAAGTTGAAAAGGAAAGGTCTAGTCCCAAATACAAGATATCAGAAAAGACTTTTTCACAGGTACAATTTAATTGTGGCGAATTATGCTCCTCTTCACCTAGATGATAGGAGAAGTTGAGTTGAAGTTAAATATTGTGAGTGTGTTCCCTAATAGCAGTTAATTTCCAAAGTTGTGGTCTTTACAAATGCAGGACCTGTGGGTGATCCCTATCAGTTAGAGATACAGGAATCCTTACCCCCTAACCCTTTGCATCTCTTATGGCAGTAATAAGGAGAGTTTGTTTATCAATCAAGTGTCTCTTCCATTAGCAATAATTCCTCTTATTCATATAACATAAAGGTTTGATTTAACATCAGAATGCATATTCTCCTTATTGTTTTCTTTACATTTCTTATGGCAGTGATAAGGAGAATTTGTTCATCAATCAAGTGTCTCTTTAAGCAGCAAGCATTCTCTTTATCCTTATAACCTTAAGGTTTGATTCTACAGTGATACTATGAGGAGATATTGAATGTTGGTCAATATTAACCCTTTCACTCCTTAGAGTGACTAGCATCTTAATTTTCCTTACAATATCTCCCCTGAATCAAACATTAAGGTCCAAAAATAAAGGAAATAATTACCAACTTAAGAAGCCCTTGATTGTTAAACAAATTCCTCTTGGCAACACCTTAGAGAATGTATATAGAACAATATGGAGAATATGCATACTGATGTTAGGGTGTGAAGTGTTAAAGGGTTAAGTTAGTGCGTTTTCCTGGTAATTCCTCAATTGTTACAAAACTGCAGGAGCACTGTCCAGAGGAGGGTGCTCTTTTAGACGAATCAGATCGAAGACTTAAGAAACGTGGACACTTTTGTTTCAAATTTAGGTGTAAAAATGTCGTTTTGTCTGTTCAATTCCTAATTTTATCTTCTAGTGACTTCTCTGGCTCTTCTGATCTTGTCAAATGATATTACTTTGGTTTTAATTTAAAAAATATGATTCATTTTTTTTCCCGGCTGAAATTGGTCTTTACCAAAACCTCCCACCAGCGAGTTATTGCTTAGAGCTATTTTCTGCTCGAACGTGCTCAGTATTTTAAAGCTCATTGCATCTTAAATTCTCTTTAGGTGAAATGCTACGCCCCGTGACCTGAGGGAAGAAAGATGTGACTTAAATAAAAGCTCATTGTGGGAAAATGTCTAAACGAGAACCCACAGGTGACAGTGTTTCAGCTCAAGCTCTGACAGAGGAAGTCCAAAAGGTCCTGGATTTTCACTTAATTTGTTGAAGTAACAACAAAAAAAGACGCACAACGGCTGTTTGGACAACGTCTGAATGATAATAGAGCATAAAGAGTGGGCTGCTAGAGACTGCGGAAGTTTTTTTTAAACATGGGGGCGACGTTTATCATACATAATAAAATAAGTGATATGCAAGGAGCACCTTTAGTGGTGAAAAACCAATCGTTTATTGTACGGGTAAACCCATAGAAGATTGATGTTTATTCTTTTTTTTTTTTTAGGCAATAGAATGCACTTTCTATCGGTTTACCAGCGTAATAACCCTCTTGGGATGTTTAGAGAACACTCGGAAAAGTTTGTCGTGTTCTCGCTACATCCCGCGTGGGTAATTAAGCCGGCAAACCGATAGAAAATGCGGTCTATTGCTTAGCTAACCCAAGTTCATGCCCCCGCTCAAAATTTCCTCAGAATTCCTTTGCGTAGGTTGTTGGCACCAGCAAACTCGTTTCTGTTGTGTTCAGTGAGTCCGTAATCAATTTTTTACAACACTTAAGTAGGCAGTTGCTCAAGAAGAGGCCAGGCGCGATCCTCAGGAAACAATTTGTGAAAAGATCACGAGAATAAGGTTTAGTAGGGGGTACTATGTAATTTTTTTTTTTTTTTTTTTTTTTTTATGGGGGAGGGTGCGTAGTTCTCATGGGAAACACTAAGAAATTGAGACCTTAGGTCTTTTCAATGGGTCGCGTTAGAAAGCAATTTTATGCGATAATATTAATGCATGTCTCGTTTGACCAAATCACTTATTTCCTTAATTAAGCGTCCGGGCGCTCATTTCAATTTCGGTCAAAAGGAGAGGCGCTTATTTGGAGAAGGTCGCCTAATTGAGGGATTGATTATTATCTTTTGTATTGATTCCGGTGTAGTT